GTACTTCTCCATTTTAAAGTAAATGTTTCAGTTTGGCAGTTTTGTTTCCTCTAAACAAATTCTAATAATGCTTCTTCAAATTTTGAGCTTGTTATTATTTTAAGAACATGACTAGAAAAAATAAAGTCCTAGATAATCTTTAGTTTTTCTTGGGAACTTAATTCTGTTTCTTTTTGTCAGCCTTAAAATTATGGCTTCATACCTAGCTGTTTACAATGTTATTGAGTTAACAGGAATAACATAAATATAGTAGAGATATTTCCTAAAATGGCTCAGTGGGATTAATTAGCCTTAATTAATCCATGGCCCATAAAACTATGCCCCCTGGGTGTCCCTACTTGGAATCCTTAAAAAGGAATTCATGCCAGGGACAGTGACTCATGCCTGTAATCTCAGCACTTTGGGAGGCCGAGGCAGGAGAACTGATTGAGCCCAGGAGTTTAAGACTAGGCTGGGCAACATGGTGAGACCTGTCTCTTCAAAAAAAAAGCTGGGTGTGGTGGTACACCTGTGGTCCAGATACTTGGGTGGCTGAGGTAGGAAGGTGCTTGAGCTCACAAGGTCAAGGCTACAGTGAGCCAGCCTGGGAGACAGAACGAGAGCCTGTCTTAAACAAGAAAGAAAAAACAAACACAAAAGGCAGAAGAATTCATGTTGATTCTACAAAACAAAACAATTCCAAATCAACCATGGTATGTGGAACATACGAAGAAAGAAAAATGAAAGGCCAATTTTTTTTTTTTTTTTTTGGACACAGAGTCTTGCTCTGTCTCCCAGGCTACTATGCAGTGGTATGATCTTAGCTCACTGCTACGTCCACCCCCGGGTTCAAGCGATCCTCCTGCCTCGGCCTCCCAAGTAGCTGAGACTACAGGCGTGCGCCACCATGCCTAGCTAATTTTTGTATTTTTAGTAAAGACAGGGTTTTACCATGTTGGCCAGGCTGGTCTCAAACTCCTGACCTCAAGTGATCCTCCTGCCTCGGCCTCCCAAAGTGCTGGGATTATAGGAGTGAGCCACCGCGCCCAGCCTGAAACTCCAAAGTTTTAACAGCTGCTTGTCAAGAGTTGGTCATAGCCATGTTCCTTCCTTAATGTATACCATAAACATTTAAATACTAAAAATTTTTAAATGATTAGATTTCTCTATATGGCAGTCACTTGAATTCTTCATTGATTATATTATTAAAATGTAGCCTGTTAGCCGTGAAATGGGCTTAATAAGCCTTATTTATGGGATGTAGGGTATGAGGGCACATTCTAATGATGGCTTATTTCATTCATGATGAATAAGCTTTCATTCATTCATTCATTTACTCATTCATTCATTTTTGAGACAGCGTCTCGCTCTGTTGACCAGGCTAGAGTGCAGTGGCACGATCTCAGCTCACTGCAATCTCCACCTCCTGGGCTCAAGTGATTCTCCTGCCTCAGCCTCCTAAGTACCTGGGATGATGGGTACCCACCACATTTTTGTATTTTTAGTAGAGACGGGTTTCACCGTGTTGGCCAGGCTGGTCTTGAACTCCTGACCTCAGGTGATCCGTCCGCCTTGGCCTCCCAAAGTGCTGGGATTACAGGCGTGAGTCACTGTACCTAGCCTAAACTTTCATTTAGAAATAGCTCAGTTTGGAGATTCAGAACCACATGCATGCAAATATTGTCCAGGGCTTGGCCTCACAGTCATTAATTTGACTGGAGTTTGTATATGGCACCTGCTTCCAAAATTCAGAAGATACTGCACCTTTTTTTTTTTTTTTTTTTGAGATAGGGTCTCACTTTGTTGCCCAGGTTGGAGTGCAGTGGTGTGATCATAGCTTACTGCAGCCTTGAATTCTTGGGCTCAGGTGATCCTCCAGTCTCAGCCTCTGGAGTAGCTGGGACCACAGGCATACACCACCATGCCCAGCTACTTTTTAAATTTTTTGTAGAGATGGGGTCTGGCTTTGTTGCCCAGGCTGGTCTTGAGCTCCTGGGCTCAAATGATCTTCCCACATTGATCTCCCAAAGTGCTGGGATTACAGGTGTGAGCCACTGCTCCTGGTCTTATACTGCATCTTTTTAACAGGCATGGTTCATTTCCAGTTCAACAGCTCCTCTTTCAAATTGACCTGCACTGACAGGGCAGATGCCAATAAGGCAGATACTTCTTTAGGTTTATAATGTAAACAAATACAAAGGAAAGTTAAGTATGTTTTTCTCACTAACATCTAAGACTCTCCTCTGAAATTGTGACAATTTATACCAAACAGTGCAGCAGTTATTCCAAATGAATGCTTTCTGTGAGGTCTGAGATGTTCACCACTGGGGAGTGAGTGGCAGCCTGGCTCAGTCTGAAAGTCCAGTTTGTGTCTGAATAGCTGCCCCTTTCTTTGTGTAAGCCAGTAATGTTCCTGCTTCTCCCCTGCAATCTCAAGCTTGATGTGCTCAGATACCTTGTTATATCAGTAAGAAAAAATACAACTTTGAAACCAATTTGGGCTTCTCTTAGTGTTTAAATTACAAAAAGTCTTTGTTACAAAAAGTCCTTGATTCAAAAGGTCAGTACATCTACCTGGCAATGACCTAACCACTGACCACACTGAAATAAACAAGATCTCCACACACTGCTGCAGCCTTTTCTAAATATTCCACTAACTAGTTCTAGTAAAGGGTATACACTTCTGTGGGAAATTCACAATTGTGAAAACTTTCTGCAGCAATGACAGTGAACAGATACTACTTAAGATAAATTACACTAAAGAGAAGACCCAATTCCTTATCTTCCTGAGCACATTTCTAAACTATGTTCCCCAGCTCTCACATCCAGGTGGGCACGTGACTAGCAGTTGCCAAGGAAGGTGAGATAAACCCATTTCCAAGCTTGACCCTGCAATTTTCTCCATGTTCTCTCTTCTCTCATTTGCTGGCTAGGTACAAAGGATACAGTAGAAGATTCCAAGACCCTGGGAAATAGCCATGTGACCTAGTGGAAAAGACCTCCTTCATCTACCTGCATTGGACTGTGAAGTGAGCAAGAAGTAAATTTTTATTCTGTTAAGCCACTCAAATTTTAGAATCACACGTTATAATGGTTAGTCAGCCCTAATTAATATGTACCCTATATACAAAGGCCAAACTAGGTATGAAAATCTGGTAATTAATTTGAACTGACCACATGTGGGGAAAGAAGCAACTGTTAGATACCGACGGCTGCATTTAGTGTGAAGCTGAAGCATAATGCAACAAACACTCTTAGTTGAGCTTTTCCCAAACTGGTCCTCATCAAAACAGAACTCAACAGGATTGTGAATAAAAGTTCTGTGCCTAAATTAGTTTGAGAAATGCTGTTAAACAAAGTTAAAAAGGTTTCTTTCCTTTAGATCATCTCAGAGCTGTCAATATACCAATGCCCATTGTGCATCTGTATAAAAAGACTAAAGAATGTAGCATTTCCCAAACTTATTTAGTCAATAAATAATTTAAGCACTAAATTTAAGATCTACTTCCCCTTCCCACCATGGCAACACCCATAGCCACCTCCCAGAGCAACGTTCTGTGGAACACATTCTGAGAAATTTTGCTTTAGTTTCATTTACATCATATGGTGAATTATTCAGCACCAAACAGTTCTAGGCACCCCAAAACAAGTATGATTCTCTCATTAAGGGAAGGTTTTTCTTGTAAAAAGACTAACATGTTCAAATACCATCAAAACCACCCAAGAGTTTTCACTGTTGAAGTGAACCAAGTTCTCTAAGAAAGGTATTTTACTTAAAATGTGACTGAAATGAAAATGATCAGCTTCATTTTTTTCCTTTGTATCCCAGTCTGCTGTCAGTGGAGCCTGTAATATTTAAAGACGGAGTATACGCTTATGTTTTAAGGAGAAGACTTTGAGTCTATGGAACAAAACCATGTTAAATATTAAATGTGTGTGGGAATACAGCCTATTGTACAGTATCTCATTTGCTTTTCTCTCTCCTATACTCATGCTGGAGGTATAATGTTTTAAAGTAATGTGCAAAGCAATAAAAAGTAATCACAGCTAACCTCAATGGATTCTTCTAATAGAAATATAAGATAATTCAGTAAAGCAGGTTTGTACTCTACTGTTTTTAAAAACTCACATATCACTTGCATGCATTATGTACATATAATTTATAAAGATATATAATTTTTCCCCATTGTAGCCTGCTAGGCTCTGTTGTATTTGTACTGTACATACACTGTATTTCTTTTTTCTTTTTTTTTTGAGATGGAGTTTCACTCTTGTTGCCCAGGCTGGAGTACAATGGAGCAATCTTGGCTCACTGCAATCTCCACCTGCTGGGTTCAAATGATTCTCTTGCCTCAGCCTCCCAAGTAGCTAGGATTACAGGCATGCACCACCACAACTGGCTAATTTTGTATTTTAAGTAGAGATGGGGTTTCCCCATGTTGGTCAGGCTGGTCTCGAACTCCTGACCTCAGGTGATCCACCCATCTTGCCCTCCCAAAGTGCTGGGATTACAGGCATGAGCCACTGTGCCCGGCCATACACTATATTTCAATCATGAATTTTTGATGGATGATTTCCCACATTTCTCATACACTTAAGGCAACTGAAAAGGATTGTTATGATAGACATTTGAGAATTCATGTAAAGTAAAAAGGTATGCTAAATATTCAATTTTTTTTTTTTTTTGAGACAGAGTCTCGCTTTGTCGCCCAGGCTGGAGTGCAGTGGTGTGATCTCGGCTCAGTGCAGCCTCCGCCTCCTGGGTTCAAGTGATTCTTGTGGCTCCGCCTCCTCAGCTCAGTCCTAACTGTGACTACAGGCATGCGCCACCACGCCCAGCCAATTTTTGTATTTTTAGTAGAGACAGGGTTTCACCATATTGGCCAGGATGGTCTCGATCTCCTGACCTCCTGATACACCCGCCTCGGCCTCCCAAAGTGCTGGGACTACAGGCGTGAGCCACTGTGCCCGGCCAGTATTCAATTTACCAAAAAACAAGAATAATAAAAAGACAGACTTACATCTAGTAGTGTGTGAAGATGCTGATCCTGGAAAACACTGTGTAGAAAATCTAGGTCCTTTTCACTGCAGTCTGTAAGTGCGTGAATCTCTTCCAGGCTGTCCAGCACCTGTGAGACTGCTCCTAAGGGGGACAAACAGAAAAGAAACAGCCAGTACAGAAAGTCAATGTCAGACTAACTTTTGTAACCTAAATCTTACATTTAAGAACAATGAATTCATATCAGAACTTCAAAGGCTAGTGTCTTTACTGAAGGATAGACTTAAATGAGTTTCATATCATTTAAGGACAGAGTATTTTCAGAGAGTTCATGTTCTTACCAATGCATTTGTGTGCTCTTCATTTTTCAAAGGAAACTGCAGCTTATCTTATTTGAATTAATGAAATTTATCAAGTATAACTGAAACACTAGAAGATCTGGACACAGCAAGTTTTATGTCAGGAAGAGAGTATGGGTTTGAGGACTCCAAGATGTTTTGAAATATTATAGAAACAAGATTGGCCTTTTACCCAGGTGCATTCCATCAAGAACCGACGGTAAAGCCAGCTGTAGATACAGGGAACAGATCTTCAACTGGGAGCTCCTGCTGCCTAAAATAGGCTTCTTACATTTTAAGACTCAAACTTTAGTTAACAAAAATCCCAGTCCACTCCTTTTTTTCCCTTTACATACAGACTCAAGAGACCCAAAATCATTCTCATTCTGTCTTACTCTTACCCTTCTTATTCAGAAGATAAAGACAAAGTGTAGGTACACTGACACTTCCAAATACCATATTAAATTTCAAGGCAAATCATTTTTGTAGGGCAAAGCAAATGGAAGTGCCATCACAAGTTTCTTCTCATAACCAGGAAATCAGGCAGATGTCAGTAGGGAAAGATACATAATGAGGAGTAACAAAGCCATTTTACACAGCCTTAAAAAAATGATCAGCCTCTTTTACACTGCAGGCAATATGCAGAATACACATATATACTCCACAAAAACAGAGCCCCAAGGAGCTAAGCTTCAGAACATTAGTACACAGTAGAGAAACTCTAAGAATAAGTGCCTCATTGCACATTTAAGTCTTTGGATAAGCGGTTCTCAACCAGGCGCAATTTTGTTACTCAGGTGGACATTTCCCAATGTTTGGAGTTATTTTTGGTTGTTACAGCTACAGCCGGAGGGCGGCTATTGCTATCTAGTGGGTAGAGGTCAGGGATGCTGCTAAATATCCTACAATACCCAGGACAGCCCCCACAACAGAGAATTATCTGGTCCAAAATGTCAGTAGTGCTGTGGTTGAGAAATTCGACTTTTGATTAACATAAAAATCTTCATGCTCCAGAACTCTGTTTCTAATTCTTCCTGTCTTAGACCTCATCCATTCTCATGCAATTATTGGTGAGAATATATATCAGTACCACTTTTCCAGAAAGCAATCTGGTAATATATATCAAAAAGCCTTAAAAATGTTCATGCACTTCGATTTAGTAATTCCATTTACAAAAATCCACCTTAAGGAAAATAATGGAAGATTTATATATAATGATATTATCATACAAAATGGAAAATAAATCTAATAGAGGATGATTACATAGGTTATAGAATATCCATATAATGGAATATGTAGCCAAATGAAAATTGTTTTTGAAGAATTTCAAAGACATAGAAAAATCTTCATGATATAGAATTCAAGAAAGCAGAATGCAAAACTAAATAAACTCTATATTCCCAGTTATGATAAAAAAACAAACAAAACATATATACAAACTCAGGAAAAACAAAAAACAGAATGAAACACAGCAAAAGTGTTACAGTAGTTATCTTTACTGTCCTATTTCTATTTCATTCTGTTCTTGTCTATACTTTCCAAGTTTTTCTACAATAGCAAATAAATAAATAAATAAATAAATAAATAAATACATAAATTGCTATATAAGCTACTGATTTTTGTAGCTCTATTTAATTATGTTAAAGATTTGGGTCTTAAGCCACATACTGTGTGGTTGTCCACATGGAAATTACTGTAGTTATTTTTTAAAATTTGACTTTTTATTTTGAGATAATTGTAGATTCACATGCAGTTGTAAAAGAATATAACACAAAGGTCTCACGTACCCTTTACCCAGTTTCCTCCAATAGTAACATCTTGCAAAACTGTAGTATAATATCACAACCTGGATATTGACATTGATACAGTCAAGCTATAAAACATTCCATTACCACAAGGATTCCTCATATTGCCTTTTCATAGCCATTCTCATTCCCCTCCTACTCTATCCCCTCCTAACCTGTGGCAACTACTAATCTGTTCTCCATTTCTACAATTTTGTCATTCTGATAATAAATGAGGCTCCTATTCTGGGCATACTGCCTATGGGGTAGCCCTGGTCTGCAAGGAGGAGTCCCTCTAAAAATTAAAAAATAAAATAAAATAAAATAAAAAGAATAAATGAAATCATACAGTATGTAACCTTTTGGGACTGCATTTTTTCACCTAGCATAATTCTCTGGGGCTTCATCCAGGTTGTTGCGTGGATGTACCAGTTTGTTTGACCATTCGTCTGTTGAAGGAACCATGGGTAATTTTTTTCTTTTTGAGACAGTCTCGTTCTGTTGCCCAGGCTGGAGTGTAGTGGTGTGATCTTGGCTCACTGCAACCTCTGCCTCCCAGGTTCAAGTGATTCTCCTGCCTCAGCATCCTGAGTAGCTGGGATTACAGGTGCGTGCCAACACCCCCGGTTAATTTTGTATTTTTAGTAGAGATGGGTTTTCACCATGTTGGTCGGGTTGGTCTCGAACTCCTGACCTTGTGATCTGCCCGCCTTGGCCTCCCAAAGTGCTGCGATTACAGGCATGAGCCACCACGCCTGGCCTGGATAATTTTTTTTTTTTTTTTTTACAGAGTCTTGCTCTGTTGCCCAGGTTGGAGTGCAGTGACACAATCTCGGCTCACTGCAACCTCGACCTCCCGCACTCAAGTGATCCTCCCACCTCAGCCCCCTGAGTAGCTGGGACTACAGGTACGTGCCACCATACTCAGCTGTTTTGTATTTTTTGTAGAGATGGGGTTCTGCCATGTTGCCCAGGCTGGTCTTGGACTCCTGAGCTAAAGCGATCCTTCTGCTTTGAGCTCCCCAAGTGCTGGGATTACTGGCGTGAGCCACCATGTCCGGCTGGATAATATTAAATTTTGAATTATGCCTGCCAGGCTATTGGTATCCTTTCACTGAAAACATTAAGTGGATATTAAGTGGGATAAAAGAGATAAATGGCAGAAATCAGTCCTCATCTCCTCTGTTATTCCTAAAGAGGTATTAACCCAATCTACTTCCTTCTACCTGATCTTCTCAGGATTTTTACTTTGTTCAGAGTGCCCCCCTCCCTCAAAAAATCTGGAAATTAGTTAAAAGCCAATTTTCTCTTCATCCCTTATTGAAAGCCTTGGAAAGCAAGAGATGATATGAAGAAATTAGTCACAAATGTCCCACTGAACCCCTGACCGCAGCACGTCATCGACAACAGAATTGAATGATGCTATGTTTATCAAGTTACTAAAGCCAGTTCTAAACTTCTGGACTTATGAAACCACAATAACAAAAATACTAATCAAGTGCTTTTTTTGTATATTAAAAAAATCCACTGATACCACAGAAATCTAATTATCATCTTCACTCAGTTATCTTAGTGTAATCTTATTTTATTTTATTTTGAGACAGAGTCTCACTGTGTCACCCACACTGGAGTGCAATGGCATGACCTCAGCTCACTGCAACCTCTGCCTCCTGGGTTCAAGCGATTCTCGTGCCTCAGCCACCCAAGCAGCTGGGACTACAGGCTACCATACTCAGCTAATTTTTGGATTTTTAGTAGAGATGGAGTTTCATCATGTTGGCCAGGCTGGTCTTGAACTCCTGGGCTCAAGAGATCCGCCTGCCTCAGCCTTCCAAATTGCCGGGACTACGGGCGTAAGCCACTGTGCCCGGTCTCTTACCAGCATTGCTCGTGCTGATATATAGTCTATACGTAGCAGTTTATTAATAATATAAGATTAAAGCAAAAACAACCTTTTATCAAGTGAGTACTAAGATGGTCAGTCTCAAGACTAGGAAGCAATTTTGGTTGTATCAGACCAGGGATGTATCATTTGTTGGTCTGTGAACTTCCCAAGTGCTCCATGCCATTCCTGTACCACCAGGGCACTCCATGGGTTACTTATGCGTGTGCTTGTTCACCCTTTTTTCCCCTGAGCTGTAAGGTCCTTAAGGCAGCTCTTTATTTTATTCATTTTATAATATCTATAAAGTATGCACTGAATGAAGCACTTGAGGAAACATTAACAGCAGCTCCCAATTCTTGAGTGTTTATTATGTTCCAGGAATATCCTCAGGACAACATGGTAAGGTTATTATCCCACCTTCTAGATAGGGAACTGAGCTTCAGAAGGGTCATGGAAGGCCATAGCTAGTAAACGGTGGAGCCAGGACTCAAACCTGGGTTTGTCTGGCTTCAAAGTCTATGCTTTGCCTAACTTACTACACTAATAGGCTATGCTAGGAAACATACGAGAAACCTTCAACAGCAAATTGTGTGGTTTATGCATGAATATGGAGGTTGGAAAAGAACTTGAACAATGCCCTATTGGGTCAGACAATAACCAAAATCTTTTTTTTTTTTTTTTTTTTTCCTGAGACAGAGTTTCACTCAGTTGCCCTGGCTGGAGTACGGTGGCATGATTTCAGCTCATTGCAACCTCCGCCTCCTTGGTTCAAGCAATTCTCCTGCCTCAGCCTTCCAAGTAGCTGGGATTACAGGCACACACCACCACATCCAGCTAATTTTTTGTTTTTAGTAGAGACGGGGTTTCACCATGTTGGCCAGGTTGGTCTCGAACTCCTGACCTCGGGTGATCCGCCCACCTCGGCCTCCGAAAGTGTTGGGGTTACTGGTGTGACCCACAGTTCCTGGCCCCAAAATCTTTATTGGATATTCCTGCTTTTTGCTAAGTACTAGGCAGGGGCTTCAGAGAAATCAGAGATATGATCCCTGTCCCTGAGGAAGGGGCTCTCAGACTGATGTGTGAAGTAGGCATATTATATTCTGAAGCAAACGATATAAAAGAGGTAAAGACAAACTG